ATAAAAGAAAAACTTTCAGTGACATAACGGTATCATAATATAAATTGAAATAAAAATATACAGTATTTTTTAATTATAATAAACAACCACAAACAAAATAATGAAGTTAATGGCAATCATTCTGCAATTGTTTAATAGTTTTTAATTGTTTAACTAGAATTCCCCCTTACTATCAGCTTGCAACTTTTTAGCTTCTATAACCAACTCCTTCCTTTTATCCCGCTGCTCTTTGTTTAGGTCATAATTAACTACATGCACCTCAAACTACTGCTCAATCCTTTAATTTTCTTAAGGTTTTCCATGACCATATTTCTATCTCTTTTGTCATAAAATTTAACCATGACTGGTCTAACCTTATCACTTCTTAAACCCAGTCTAAAAATAGACTTTATGCTGCTCTCTTTAATGTAACCATCAGATAATTGAGAACATATCTCTAAAATCTGCTTTCTATCATGGCTGTTGCAAATAACCTTATCATTGTCTTTACATTGCTTCAGCTGATATAGATGTTATGCATTCTCTCCTCCAAATCATTATTAATTTTAATACTATCACTTGTTTTTTCAATAGTCTTACAAATTGTTGACACCTCTCTATTAACCTCCTGTACTTTGTTTTTCATCTCACATGCAACTTCAGCCCAACTTTTATTGAGAGAAGCTTTTAAAACTTTAGAAATTTCAACAATTGCCTTTTGCAGTGCTATAAATTTTTTCTCATTTTTATCAGATAAGGCTGAAAAATATCAGATAAATTATCAGACATATATATATATATATATATATATATATATATATATATACATATACACTATTATATATATATATATATATAAATATATACATATACACTATTATATATATATATATATATATATATATATATATATATTTAGGAACGAGGTTTTCAGAAATGCAAATTTCATTGAAATTGTTTGACCATTTTGCATTAATTAACTTCTTTATAAGACATTCAACGAGGCGGTATTGTTTGAGTTCATATTTATCTAAAACTGGAATAAAGCTAACAGCGCTGTTTTGGCGTAATGCCATCTTCAGAGCCTAATTATTGTTTAAACATATAATTTAATTAAAATAAATGTCTAATGTAAAATGTGAAAATATAGAAAATAAAATATGTATTAAATTGTGAAATAAATTAACCTTGTTGTAAATATCATAATAACTAAAGTTTATGTAGATTATATAAATAAAATAATGTAATTTAAATAAAATGTTTAGTAAAATAATTAAAATATAGAAATTTTATAAAAGTTTTAACATGGTTGAAAAAACGTTGGTGAAAACTAATTACGAATGACATGTGCGCCAGATATATAATATTGCTGTTTATGCGTTGTGAATACAACTATTGCGGTTGAATATGTGTGATACGAGTTTCCACATCAGGCCAACGTATACATAGTTAAATATAAATACATATATGTACATGCAAGATACATATCGATGTATAGATCAAATATTAAGTATCACATAATACATCCAACGACGCAATGACAGTTGTCGGATGACGCTGGGTCACAAACTGCGTGTTAATGGGTAGAATGATATTTATATCGTTGTGGTACACGCAGATCCTGTGGATTAACCCCAACAGCAACTGTAGGTGTGAGATCGTGGTATTGAGAAAATAATTGCAAAGTGTGATCAAAGCTGTTATATTGTTTATTGAGTGAGGGTTTATGCTTGTTGATATGAAGGGCTTCTTTAATTTTGAGGCAAACTGGATCAGGTTCATAATCAATGATCGTTGTGTTGGGATCCAATATGTTCCTCGTAAGCGGTTGATGATGTACCTGTTCCATATGGTCC